TATAGACTGTGTGTGTACCTGTATAGACTGTGTGTACCTGTATAGACTGTGTATACCTGTATAGACTGTGTGTACCTGTGTAGACTGTGTACCTGTACAGACTGTCTGTGTACCTGTGTAGACTGTGTGTACCTGTATAGACTGTGTGTACCTGTATAGACTGTGTGTACCTGTATAGACTGTGTGTACATGTATCGATTGTGTGTGTACCTGTATAGATTGTGTGTGTACCTGTATAGACTGTGTGTGTACCTGTGTAGACTGTGTGTGTACCTGTGTAGACTGTGTGTACCTGTATAGACTGTGTGTGTACCTGTATAGAGTGTGTGTACCTGTATAGACTGTGTGTGTACCTGTATAGACTGTGTGTACCTGTATAGACTGTGTGTGTACCTGTATAGACTGTGTGTACCTGTATAGACTGTGTATACCTGTATAGACTGTGTGTACCTGTGTAGACTGTGTACCTGTACAGACTGTCTGTGTACCTGTGTAGACTGTGTGTACCTGTATAGACTGTGTGTACCTGTATAGACTGTGTGTACCTGTATAGACTGTGTGTACCTGTATAGACTGTGTGTACATGTATCGATTGTGTGTGTACCTGTATAGATTGTGTGTGTACCTGTATAGACTGTGTGTGTACCTGTGTAGACTGTGTGTGTACCTGTGTAGACTGTGTGTACCTGTATAGACTGTGTGTGTACCTGTATAGAGTGTGTGTACCTGTATAGACTGTGTGTGTACCTGTATAGACTGTGTGTACATGTATAGACTGTGTGTACCTGTATAGACTGTGTGTACCTGTATAGACTGTGTATACCTGTATAGACTGTGTATACCTGTACAGACTGTGTATACCTGTATAGACTGTGTATACCTGTATAGACTGTGTGTACCTGTATAGACTGTGTGTACCTGTATAGACTGTGTGTACCTGTATAGACTGTGTGTGTACCTGTACAGACTGTGTGTGTACCTGTATAGACTGTGTGTGTACCTGTACAGACTGTGTACCTGTGTAGACTGTGTACCTGTATAGACTGTGTGTGTACCTGTATAGACTGTGTGTACCTGTGTAGACTGTGTGTACCTGTGTAAACTGTGTGTGTACATGTATAGACTGTGTGTGTACCTGTATGGACTGTGTGTGTACCTGCATAGACTGTGTGTACCTGTATAGACTTGTATACCTGTATAGACTGTGTGTACCTATATAGACTGTGTGTACCTGTATAGACTGTGTGTACCTGTATAGACTCGGTGTGTACCTGTATAGACCGTGTGTGTACCTGTATAGACTGTGTGTACCTGTATAGACTGTGTGTGTACCTGTATAGACTGTGTGTGTACCTGTATAGACTGTGTGTACCTGTATAGACTGTGTATGTGTACTTGTGTGTGTGTGTGCACCTGTGTGTGGAACTACAGCTGTATAGTCCCTACCTGTAGAACCTGTGTGTGTATACCTGTGTGTGTGTATCTGTGTGTGTGTACCTGTGTGTGTGTGTAACTATACCTGTATGTGTGTAAGTACACCTGTATGTATGTGTGTGTACCTGTATAGTCCCTACCTGTAGATGCTGTGTGTGTATACCTGTGTGTGTACCTGTATGTGTGTAACTATACCTGTATGTGTGTATGTGTGTAACTACACCTGTATAGTCTCTACCTGTAGATGCTGTGTGTGTGTGTACCTGTGTGTGTGTAACTACACCTGTGTGTGTGTACCTGTGTGTGTACCTGTATGTGTGTGTCACTATACCTGTATATGTGTAACTACACCTGTATAGTCCCTACCTGTAGATGCTGTGTGTAAGTACACCAGTATGTGTGTACCTGTATGTGTATGTGTGTGTAACTACACCTGTGTGTGTGTGTACCTGTGTGTGTGTACCTGTGTGTGTGTGCCTGTGTGTGTGTAACTATACCTGTGTGTGTGTACCTATATAGTCCCTACCTGTAGATGCTGTGTGTGTACCTGTGTGTGTATACCTGTGTGTGTACCTGTATATGTGTGTGTATACCTGTATGTGTGTGTAAGTACACCTGTATATGTGTAACTACACCTGTATAGTCCCTACCTGTAGATGCTGTGTGTGTACCTGTGTGTGTGTGTGTGCCTGTGTGTGTACCTGTGTGTGTGTGTACCTGTGTGTGTGTGTAACGACACCTGTGTGTATACCTGTTTGTGTGTATACCTGTATGTGTGTATACCTGTGTGTATGTGTGTACCTGTATGTATGTGTGTAAGTACACCTGTATGTGTGTGTGTACCTGTGTGTGTCGAGCGATAGTGTAGCGGTTAGCGCTACGCTGCGCTATGAACCTGGCGACCCGGGTTCGATTCCCGCTCACGGCCAACACCAGTGACGATTATCTGAACCGGTCCCGGGCCTCCCCTAGGTCGACTCAGACTCAAATGAGTACCTGGTGCGTTGTGTAAACATTGCCACTGGGGAGACAAAGGCGGTCGGGCGTGGTGCTGGCCACCCACCCCCTCGTGTACCGTTCCGGCCTTCATAGGTGCTCGCTAACAGCACTTGCCCCTACAGTCTGTTAAGGCTATATGGGGGATCTTTGTCTTGTGTGTGTGTAACTACACCTGTGTGTGTGTGTACCTGTGTGTGTGTACCTGTATGTGTGTGTGTGTACCTGTATAGTCTCTACCTGTAGATACTGTGTGTGTAACTACACCTGTATGTGTGTGTACCTGTATAGTCTCTACCTGTAGATGCTGTGTGTGTACCTGTATGTGTGTGTGTACCTGTGTGTGTGTACCTGTATAGTCTCTACCTGTAGATGCTGTGTGTGTACCTGTATGTGTGTGTGTACCTGTATAGTGTGTACCTGTATGTGTGTGTACCTGTGTGTGTGTACCTGTATGTGTGTGTGTGGGGAGCGGTAGTGTAGTGGTTAGCGCGCTGCGCTACGAACCTGGCGACCCGGGTTCGATTCCCGCTCACGGCCAACACCAGTGACGATTACCTGAACCGGTCCCGGGCCTCCCCTAGGTCGACTCAGCCTCAAATGAGTACCTGGTGCGGTGTGTAAACATCGCCACTAGGGAGACAAAGGCGGTCGGGCGTGGTGCTGGCCACCCACCCCCTCGTGTACCGTTCGGGCCTTCATAGGTGCTCGCTAACAGCACTTGCCCCTACAGTCTGTTAAGGCTATACGGGGGATCTTTGATCTTTGTGTGTGTGTATACCTGTATGTGTGTGTGTATACCTGTATGTGTGTGTGTATACCTGTATGTGTGTGTGTGTGTACCTGTATAGTCTGTACCTGTAGATGCTGTGTGTGTGTGTGTACCTGTATGTGTGTGTGTGTACCTGTATAGTCTGTACCTGTATATGCTGTGTGTGTATACCTGTGTGTATGTACCTGTGTATGTGTGTGTGTGTACCTGTGTGTGTACCTGTGTATGTCTGTGTGTGTACCTGTATAGTCTGTACCTGTATGTGTGTGTGTGTGTACGTGTGTGTACGTGTGTGTGTACGTGTGTGTGTACGTGTGTGTGTACGTGTGTGTGTACCTGTGTGTGTACCTGTGTGTGTGTGTGTACCTGTGTGTGTACCTGTATGTATGTGTGTGTGTACCTGTATGTATGTGTGTGTGTACCTGTATGTGTGTGTGTACCTGTGTGTGTGTGTACCTGTGTGTGTACCTGTGTCTGTACCTGTGTGTGTACCTGTGTGTGTGTACCTGTATGTATGTATGTGTGTACCTGTGTATGTACCTGTATAGTGTGTACCTGTAGATGCTGTGTGTGTGTACCTGTGTATGTACCTGTATAGTGTGTACCTGTAGATGCTGTGTGTGTGTACCTGTATAGTGTGTACCTGTGTGTGTACCTGTATAGTGTGTACCTGTAGATGCTGTGTGTGTGTACCTGTATGTATGTGTGTACCTGTGTGTGTACCTGTATAGTGTGTATGTATGTGTGTGTGTACCTGTGTGTGTGTGTGTACCTGTGTGTGTGTGTGTGTATGTGTGTGTGTATGTGTGTGTGTACCTGTGTGTGTACCTGTGTGTGTACCTGTGTGTGTGTGTGTGTGTACCTGTGTGTATGTGTGTGTGTACCTATATGTGTGTGCATGTACCTGTATAGTGTGTACCTGTGTGTGTGTGTACCTGTATAGTGTGTACCTGTGTGTGTGTACCTGTGTGTGTGTACCTGTGTATGTGTACCTGTGTGTGTGTACCTGTATAGTGTGTGTACCTGTATGTGTACCTGTATAGTGTGTGTACCTGTATGTGTGTGTGTACCTGTGTGTGTGTACCTGTATGTACCTGTATGTACCTGTGTGTGTACCTGTATAGTGTGTATGTATGTGTGTGTGTACCTGTGTGTGTGTACCTGTATGTACCTGTATGTACCTGTGTGTGTACCTGTATAGTGTGTATGTATGTGTGTGTGTACCTGTATAGTGTGTACCTGTATGTGTGTGTGTACCTGTGTGTGGACCTGTGTGTGTGTACCTGTATGTATGTGTGTATGTATGTGTGTGTGTACCTGTATAGTCTGTACCTGTATGTGTGTGTGTACCTGTGTGTGTGTACCTGTATGTACCTGTGTGTGTACCTGTATAGTGTGTGTACCTGTAGATGCTGTGTGTGTGTACCTGTGTGTATGTACCTGTGTATGTATGTGTGTGTGTACCTGTGTGTGTGTACCTGTGTGTGTGTACCTGTATAGTGTGTGTACCTGTAGATGCTGTATGTGTGTACCTGTGTGTGTGTGTGTGTGTACCTGTGTGTGTACCTGTGTGTATGTATGTGTGTGTGTACCTGTATAGTGTGTGTACCTGTATGTGTGTGTGTACAAGTATGTACCTGTGTGTGTACCTGTATAGTGTGTGTACCTGTGTGTGTGTGTACCTGTATAGTGTGTGTACCTGTGTGTACCTGTGTGTGTGTACCTGTGTGTGTGTACCTGTATAGTGTGTGTACCTGTGTGTATGTATGTGTGTGTGTACCTGTATGTGTGTGTGTACCTGTATAGTGTGTGTACCTGTAGATGCTGGCGGGTTCCGTGCACGCTGCGAGGCTGAAGGATCACGGCAGGAGGCGATCGTCGCTTAGGAGCCACACCCCGAGCCAGGGATACAGCAGCGGAGAGAGCCTGGAGGTGTCACGTGGACAGGGGTGAGCCAATGGGAAGGGCTCTGTGGTGTGTGGGGAGGGGGGAGGAGGTAGAGGGGGGTGTGGTAAGGGAGGGGTGAGTGGGGGGGGTAAGGGAGGGGTGAGTGGGGGGGTGAGTGGGGGGATGGGTGGGAGGGGTGAGTTGGAGGGGTGAGTGGGAGGAGGGAGTGGGAGTGGTGAGTAGGGGAGGGTGGGGGTGAGTGGGGGGGGGTGAGTGGGGGGGTGAGTGTGGGGGGGTGAGTGGGGTGGGGGTGAGTGGGGGGGTGAGGGGAGGGGTGAGTGGGGGGGTGAGTGGGGGGATGGGTGGGGGGGGGTGATTTGGAGGGGTGAGTGGGGGGGTGATTTGGAGGGGTGAGTGGGAGGAGGGAGTGGTGAGTAGGGGAGGGTGGGGGTGAGTTGGGGGGTGAGTGGGGGGTGAGTGGGGGGTGAGTGGGGGGGTGAGTGGGGGGTGAGTGGGGGGGTGAGTGGGGGGTGAGTGTGAGTGGTGAATAGGGGGGGTGAGTGGGGGGGTGAGTGGGGGGGTGAGTGGGGGGGTGAGTGGGGGGTGAGTGGGGGGTGAGTGGGGGGGTGAGTGGGGGGTGAGTGGGGGGTGAGTGTGAGTGGTGAATAGGGGGGGTGAGTGGGGGGTGAGTGGGGGGGTGAGTGGGGGGTGAGTGGGGGGTGAGTGTGAGTGGTGAATAGGGGGGGGGGTGAGTGGGTGGGTGAGTGGGGGGGTGAGTGGGGGGGTGAGTGGGGGGGTGAGTGGGGGGGTGAGTGGGGGGTGAGTGGGGGGGTGAGTGGGGGGGGGTGGACCGGTTCTGCCGGCTCAACTGGGTGGAATCGATGGGAAAAGCCGCAGGGGAATGAGGTCAGAAGAGACGCAGTGAGGGGTGGTGATGGTGGTGGTGGTGGTGATGGTGGTGGTGATGGTGGTGATGGTGGTGGTGATGGTGATGTTGGTGATGGTGGTGGTGATGGTGGTGATGGTGGTGGTGATGGTGATGGTGGTGATGGTGGTGGTGGTGATGGTGGTGATGGTGGTGGTGGTGATGGTGGTGGTGGTGATGGTGGTGATGGTGGTGATGGTGGTGGTGGTGATGGTGGTGGTGGTGATGGTGGTGTTGATGGTGATGTTTCTAGAACGACACTTATGTATAAATGTATATTGGATACTGTAGATGTAAACCATCCACCCACTGACCCACCCACTCACCCACCCACCCACTCACCCACCCACCCACTGACCCACCCACTCACCCACCCACCCACTGACCCACTCACCCACCCACCCACTCACCCACTCACCCACCTACTCACCCACTCACCCACCCACCCACTCACCCATCCACGCACCCACCCACTCACCCATCCACTCACCCACCCACCCACTCACCTACCCAATCATCAACTCACCCACTCACCCACTCATCTACTCACTCACCCACCCATCCACACACTCACCCACTCACTCACTCACCCACCCACTCACTCAATCACCCACTCACCCAGCCATTCACTCACCCAGCCACTTACTCACTCACCCACTCACCCACTCACTCACCCAGCCACCCACTCACTCACCCAGTCACTCACCCACCCACTCACTCACCCACCCACTCACTCACTCACCCACCCACCCACCCACTCATTTACTCACTCACCCACCCACTCGTAATCTCACACACTCACCCAATCACCCACCCACTCATCAACTCAAATACTCATCCACTCACCCACTCATCTACTCACTCACCCACCCATCCACACACTCACCCACTCACTCACCCACCCACTCATCAACTCACCCACTCACTCACCCACTCACTCACCCACTCACTCACTCACCCACCCACTCACTCAATCACCCACTCACTCACTCACCCACTCACTCAATCACCCACTCACTCACTCACCCACTCACTCAATCACCCACTCACCCAGCCATTCACTCACCCAGCCACTTACTCACTCACCCACTCACCCACTCACTCACCCAGCCACCCACTCACTCACCCAGTCACTCACCCACTCACTCACTCACCCACCCACCCACTCATTTACTCACTCACCCACCCACTCGTAATCTCACACACTCACCCAATCACCCACCCACTCATCAACTCAAATACTCATCCACTCACCCACTCATCTACCCACTCACCCACCCATCCACACACTCACCCACTCACTCACCCACCCACTCATCAACTCACCCACTCACTCACCCACTCACTCACTCACCCACCCACTCACTCACCCACCCACTCACTCAATCACCCACTCACTCACTCACCCACTCACTCAATCACCCACTCACTCAATCACCCACTCACCCAGCCATTCACTCACCCAGCCACTTACTCACTCACCCACTCACTCACCCAGCCACCCACTCACTCACCCAGTCACTCACCCACCCACTCACTCACTCACCCACCCACCCACTCATTTACTCACTCACCCACCCACTCGTAATCTCACACACTCACCCAATCACCCACCCACTCATCAACTCAAATACTCATCCACTCACCCACTCATCTACTCACTCACCCACCCATCCACACACTCACCCACTCACTCACCCACCCACTCATCAACTCACCCACTCACTCACCCACTCACTCACCCACTCACTCACTCACCCACCCACTCACTCAATCACCCACTCACTCACCCACTCACTCAATCACCCACTCACTCACCCACTCACTCAATCACCCACTCACTCAATCACCCACTCACTCAATCACCCACTCACCCAGCCATTCACTCACCCAGCCACTTACTCACTCACCCACTCACTCACCCAGCCACCCACTCACTCACCCAGTCACTCACCCACTCACTCACTCACCCACCCACCCACTCATTTACTCACTCACCCACCCACTCGTAATCTCACACACTCACCCAATCACCCACCCACTCATCAACTCACATACTCATCCACTCACCCACTCATCTACTCACTCACCCACCCATCCACACACTCACCCACTCACTCACCCACCCACTCATCAACTCACCCACTCACTCACCCACTCACTCACCCACTCACTCACTCACCCACCCACTCACTCAATCACCCACTCACTCACTCACCCACTCACTCAATCACCCACTCACCCAGCCATTCACTCAATCACCCACTCACCCAGCCATTCACTCACCCAGCCACTTACTCACTCACCCACTCACCCACTCACTCACCCAGCCACCCACTCACTCACCCAGTCACTCACCCACCCACTCACTCACCCACCCACCCACTCATTTACTCACTCACCCACCCACTCGTAATCTCACACACTCACCCAATCACCCACCCACTCATCAACTCAAATACTCATCCACTCACCCACTCATCTACTCACTCACCCACCCATCCACACACTCACCCACTCACTCACCCACCCACTCATCAACTCACCCACTCACTCACCCACTCACTCACCCACTCACTCACTCACCCACCCACTCACTCAATCACCCACTCACTCACTCACCCACTCACTCAATCACCCACTCACTCAATCACCCACTCACTCAATCACCCACTCACCCAGCCATTCACTCACCCAGCCACTTACTCACTCACCCACTCACCCACTCACTCACCCAGCCACCCACTCACTCACCCAGTCACTCACCCACTCACTCACTCACCCACCCACCCACTCATTTACTCACTCACCCACCCACTCGTAATCTCACACACTCACCCAATCACCCACCCACTCATCAACTCAAATACTCATCCACTCACCCACTCATCTACTCACTCACCCACCCATCCACACACTCACCCACTCACTCACCCACCCACTCATCAACTCACCCACTCACTCACCCACTCACTCACTCACCCACCCACTCACTCACCCACCCACTCACTCAATCACCCACTCACTCACTCACCCACTCACTCAATCACCCACTCACTCAATCACCCACTCACCCAGCCATTCACTCACCCAGCCACTTACTCACTCACCCACTCACTCACCCAGCCACCCACTCACTCACCCAGTCACTCACCCACCCACTCACTCACTCACCCACCCACCCACTCATTTACTCACTCACCCACCCACTCGTAATCTCACACACTCACCCAATCACCCACCCACTCATCAACTCAAACACTCATCCACTCACCCACTCATCTACTCACTCACCCACCCATCCACACACTCACCCACTCACTCACCCACCCACTCATCAACTCACCCACTCACTCACCCACTCACTCACCCACTCACTCACTCACCCACCCACTCACTCACTCACCCACTCACTCACTCACCCACTCACTCACTCACCCACTCACTCAATCACCCACTCACTCAATCACCCACTCACCCAGCCATTCACTCACCCAGCCACTTACTCACTCACCCACTCACCCACTCACTCACCCAGCCACCCACTCACTCACCCAGCCACCCACTCACTCACCCAGTCACTCACCCACCCACTCACTCACTCACCCACCCACCCACTCATTTACTCACTCACCCACCCACTCGTAATCTCACACACTCACCCAATCACCCACCCACTCATCAACTCAAATACTCATCCACTCACCCACTCATCTACTCACTCACCCACCCATCCACACACTCACCCACTCACTCACCCACCCACTCATCAACTCACCCACTCACTCACCCACTCACTCACTCACCCACCCACTCACTCACCCACCCACTCACTCAATCACCCACTCACTCACTCACCCACTCACTCAATCACCCACTCACTCAATCACCCACTCACTCAATCACCCACTCACCCAGCCATTCACTCACCCAGCCACTTACTCACCCACTCACTCACCCAGCCACCCACTCACTCACCCAGTCACTCACCCACCCACTCACTCACCCACCCACCCACTCATTTACTCACTCACCCACCCACTCATCAACTCAAATACTCATCCACTCACTCACCCACTCATTCATCCACTCACTCACCCACCCACACATTCGCTCGCTCACCCACTCAGTCACCAACCCAACCACGTGGCTGAGCTGCCATGTTGTGTTGTGATGTCCAGGCTGTAC